GTATGTGTGGTAGGCACTAATCCTCACACAATGGCGCGGTAGTAGCAGTCGTCCGTAGCGAAGGGGTTAGAAAGTAGGGTCTCCAAAAGGAGAAATCTTATATTTACTGCATTTATTTCAGTCTACCCGGAGGCATTGGACTTACTGGGGCATTTGGCACAGCATTCGCCATCTCTCTTGACGCTCTTGTCGCAGTCCAGGGCCGGGCAGACTTTCTCGGTGCAGTCAAAGCGGCCATCGGTGCAGGTGCACGTGTTGCAATCGTCAAGCTTGAGCGTCTCACCGTGGTTGATGCGACGGTTGTGGCTGATGTCGCAGCCGTCAAAGTTGTCGGCTGAGTGACAGTAAGAAAGCGGGAGAAACAGTTTGAGACCCTAAGCAAAATGCGCCACCTTGGCAACCGCGCAATGTCAACTTGTAATTTTCTTGGTGCAAATGAAACAAAACTAGGCAGGATTGTCTTTCGGCCCAACCTGAATCTCGGACATACCACGAGCTGAGACTTACTCGGGCATACTGGGCAACAAAGACCAGCCACTGGCTGCGGGTCGTTACAAGTCAGCTCGGCGTCACAGGTGATTGGTCGGCACTGCGTCATGCCACTGTCGCACGTGCACTCCTCGCAGTTGGATGGCCGCCAGTACTCGCCTTGGCTGTGGGCCATGCCATCCGCATCCTTGCACTTTCTGATGTCACCTGACAAATGCAGACGGTGTAGTCACAGTGATTCAATTCTGAATGCTCATTGGTCAGGTAAAAAATAATTCAGGAATCTGATTGGTGAAACCCTGTCAACAAGTTGTTTAATCACTCTTTTAAAAGAAAGTTTCTCAACCCCTCTTTCCAATGCAGAAATAACAAGGCTGTTTTAGTTATGATTAGAGAAATATATCTACCATATTTTTATTATCAGGAAGAAAAAGTTAAAACATTTTCTTGGTAAACACATGCTATGCTCCACCCTCCCATATCTAGCAGGCCTGGAACATGGATTTGACAGCACAGGAAATCCAAGACAATTGTGCATTCCAGTCAGCAAGGTTCGTACTTTTTACCAAAGTACAGTGACTGGGGCACTGATTGATAGTTCAGAGTTGGATTAAGGGAAAATGAGAAAATTTCTATTCAACTGTTTCGGAGGTGGGATCGTTGTTTTTCAAATCACTGTTTCATTTTTCAAATTGCATGAAAACGTCCACTGAGAGAGACAATGGGTGGGTGGACCAATGGGTGGACCGACAAAAAAAGGCCAAAGCCATCTCTAAGAAAAAGTGGCACAAGGAAGCACTGTTCACTCTTCAATCAAGGGTTTTTCTAGAGTTAGGAAGCCATGAGACAGTGAAAAAATGGCCAACACTTGATTCAGCTTAGCTTCTGTGTTTGTTCCCTTTTTGCCGGAAGCCACCTTCTGATAATTCTAGTGACTGGCTTTTTGCATAAAGTAATCTCGGTACGACGGGGTTGGTGTCGGAGGTCATCTTACTTGCGCATTTGGGGCAGCAGTCGTCAGGTAGTTTGATGACATCAGTGCACTCCAGCGTGTCGCATGTCTCCGTCAGGCACTCAATCTCGCCGTTTCGGCAGGTGCATCGAGCGCAGGGCGTGGGCTGCCACGTGTCCCCCTCTCTGCGTGTCGCTGTGCAGAACGTCAAGGGCTTGATTTCTGAAGATGGAAAAATGACCTCTAAAAATCACACTTGAGTTTGGCTGTACATCACATTTAGTTGGGTTTGGATAAACAAATGATAAATCAGAAAATAGCCACTGGTGTGGTTAAGTCCGTCACAAGTCCTTCATTTTCATTTCAAGTCACAAGCTATTCAAATAAACAGTGAAATCAATCAGTCACAGATCAAATTATCACTCCATGTTTTCTTGTAACCATGCGTGTAAACTGACTTTGATCAGTACGCACGGCCTGATGGCAGACTCAACAACACCACTACAAGTATGAATCAAGGAGATATCTACCAACAGTTCCACGAACTATATGTCCACTGTAAGCCTGTTATGTCTAATCCACGATTTTAATCCAACCTCTAGATGTTAATTACATCAGGTTACATCAGCACGTTCGTGTATCTGAAAATCACGGCAAAACAGCCAAGATTTTACCGGTTCCTGATATGATTTTTATCTCACTTAGTATTGTCTGCGCTTGAATGGCGAAATATAGTCGCAAAGTTTAAAACAACTTGGCTGCCCATGAGGTCAGCGAGGGTTGTCTTCAAAGTAAAACAAAGCAGCACCAATCAAGTGACAAGATGAAGCCAGAGACAGAAAAAACTGAACTTGAGGATGGGCCCACAAAACCCCTGAACTTTCAAGAGAAATGAGATTCTTACCACCAGGTGGAGGACAAGACATGCAACACTGGCCTTCCACTGCGACAGGCTCGGCACACTCTGTCGCAGGGCAGTCCATCCGGGTACACCGGACACCGCCCAGCTCTGTGCATTCGCACTCTGTGCAGGGATCGGGGTTCCATTTCTCCCGGGGCATGTAGGTATTGCCCTGTTCGTCCGAGCAAGCGTTGTCTGGGTCTGGCGAGAGGACAACCCCCCAAGAAATATTTCAGACGTATTTTGAAAAGTTCAACAGAAAGATTTGAAGAGAAACAGCAACGGTTCGGACAGCCAGGTGTTCTAATTGGAGCATAATCTCTCTTAATCTTTCTCATTTGTTCAGTAAGCAGTTTCTAACATTCTTAGATGTAGATTTTATTTCATTGGTGTCTAAGTCAAAGTGTACGTTATGTGCAAGGAAGGACTTTCCACAAAGAGGGTAAAATTGGATTCTGCATCTAACATTGATGTACTGAGCTTAAAATTGTGTCATTCAAAATTGAAACACTGCAAAGCTTTTGGGGGGAATGCACTGAGTTTTTAAAAGAAGCTTTGTCGAGGTATTATATTTCTGGAAGGAGATGAGCATTTAACATAAATTGAATATACATCAACTCAGTATGACCTCTACAAGTGACCAAGGTATGACCCTACACAATTAATGACTGAGGACTGACCAGGTGGGCATTTACGACAGCATTCGTCAGGCTCTCGCTTGAGTGGCTGATCACAGGACAGGGTAGGGCAGGTTTCTTTGTCGCAGCGGACTTTGCCGTTGTCACACGTGCACACCTTGCACGGAGACCGGCGCCAGCTCTCCCCGTGACGCATCTTCTGTCCAGTCTTTGTGGTGCAGCCCTTCATTACTCGGTCGCCTGATGCAAAGGCAAAGAGAGTTGCAGACCGACACTTAAACTCACCCCATAAAAGTAAGCTATTTTGAAGTATTTATTGGTATACTTTTAACACTGGCAGCTGACATCTACCACGTGAGACTGATGATCAACGGCTACCTGTTAAAAATGTATCCCTGGGTCAAAGTTCACGTCGTCATTCTACCTTGCCGGGCCTTGCCAGAGCTATCCTCACATCTACACAGCATGTTCGTCAGGCATTTGTAACCAGCAAAGTTCCACAGCCAGCTGTGGATGCAAGGTTTGCATGCTGTCTCATATGCCTTTTGAAAAGTACTACTACCCCCGACTGGCATGCCTACGTTTTGCTTAATCATTCACATCTGCAGAGCATGCACTGCCAAATCTTGCAAATCTAGAATTCTAAGTCACAGTAAACTGCAATAGGTTAACTTCTAAAACTGTTTTCCTGGAATTGCATCATTGAGCAATTACAGTGAAGAAGCTTGCTCAGGGACACAAAAAGTGCCATGGTTAGTGGATGGCTTACCAGGACAGGTGTCGCAGCATGTACCCTCTTCAGAAACAGGTTCCATGCAGTCCGGCGCAGGGCATACCTCCGTGGAGCACGTGATGACGCCATTGTCGCACGAGCACGTCGTACAATCGCCTCGTCTGAAGTTTGTGCCATGGTCATATTCCGTGACATTGTCAGGCCTGCACGACTTCAGTTCATCTGAGACGGAAAACGGTGGCAAGAAGACGGGGGACCAGTCAGAAGCAATATGCACCACACAAATTTTTTGACTGGTAAACAGTTTCTGCTGAGGGAATATTTCCACGTTTAGCCAATCGTGTGCAGCTTTGCTATTCCCTGACTGGTGTCTTACCGGGGCACTTGAGGCAGCATTCGTCCACCAGCCTCTTGGGATCGGCACACGTCACCGCTGGGCACTGTTGGTTCTCACAACTGATCTTGCCGTTGTTACATGTGCAGGTCTTACATGGGCCCTTGGTCCAAGATTCGCCGCTGCGGTACGTCTTACCCTTGAGGGCGCACGGGGCTGGAACAGGCTCATCTTGGGAGAAAAAAAAAATGCAAAACTGAGAAATGGAGCTTGGAATATCCAGGTCACTGCAAACAAAAATGAGGATTTAACTTCACTGCCTTTGTACACATCTCTAAAGCTCTCTCCTGTCTGCAAACAACGAGGACCATGTTCAGCCTGGTCCCCACAGAAGTCTGAAAACCAAATCCCAGGACTTTCCAGGACTAAAATATGACACTTTCCATGGCATTTAACGGCATTTTGTAGAGAAAAGTTGTTTGGTATTATGAAATGAAAGACTGCTGGACTGACGAGGATATAGCTTGTGAAATTCGTCATAACTCTGTTAGGAAGGTCAAGAGGTCAAAGGGCAAGGAACAGTTCCAAATCTAATTACGAATGTCTTAAAAGTTGTGGCTACTGTCAGAAATAATGTTTACACTACTGACATTCTCTGGCTGGCTGGTGTGTGTGTGTGTTAATTCCTACGGTAGCTAAGTCGATTGACCCCTGACCTACCCACAATCCCACCTCGTCAGGCTTACCAGGGCAGCGTGGGCAGCATTCATCGCGTGCCTTGATGGCGTTGTTGCAGGTGGTGGCAGGGCAGACGGTCTGGTCGCACTCCAGCGAGCCAAAGTAGCAAGTACATGTGGAGCAGGGCGACTGACGGAAACTCTCGCCTGTCTGTAGACGGCGACCGTCCACCATGCAGCCCGTGTCTGGCTCGTCTGAAATCGATTAAACAGTAAAATAAAGAAAATTAGTGATCAAAGGAAAAGGAAAAATGGAAGTTTCTAAGATTTCTGAAGACACTATTCTCAAAAGTTCAAACATTTTCAGTTTTCGAATTGGTCGACTGCTTACTTTCATCGATAAGTTCAGACACCAACAAAGACCTAAGGGACATAGTCAATCCCTCCACTGGCATAAAAGGTGAAATGTACTAAACACAAGCGCATTTTTGCTGCATACGCTGGTACAGAGTGATTGCTTACTGTCAAAAGACAGATTTGAAATTTTGACTTTGCTCTGATCTGCATGGTATGACCTACAGTAGTTCATCCTCTGAAGGCAAAATGGGTAGCATTGCTGCTTATCAATAATTGACTTCATTTATCATTAAAAGGGGAACCATTCACATGCAAATATTGTATGAGATTTCATTGACCATGTACATCACCAGAATTGCATCCGATGACAAAACATGAGGAAGGATGAAATTTGACCAAAATAGTTTGACTGTTTGAGCAAAACTGTACATTGCGGAAGAGCAACTATCTAGCTAGTGGTCAGCCTATAGTTCACATCCCGACTTGCTCCCAAAATGTTTCTGTACTTGTTAATATCTGGCCTCTCCATATTTCACTCCCTTATGTTGATTTACCACAAAGGTTGAAAAGCAGCGCTTACCGACGCAGATTCGGCAGCACTCTCCGGGGACCTTGACGGTGTTGGGGCAGATCAGTACAGGGCAGCTCTCCTCGGCACAGCCCACAATACCATTGTTACACTGACAGAACTCGCAGGGGTTAATACGCCACCAGTCTCCGCTTGCGACCTCTCGGTCTTTGTACATGCACGGTGCAGGAGTGGGTTCACCTACAGGGGCAAGAGGGGGGTGATTTTGAACTTTGAGCTGTGGTCATTCCTGCTCGGGACGTGTCCTTGAACCTTAAAATTCCACGACTGGCACCGACTCATACTGTGGACTTTAGGTTATTTTTCTAGGGTCAACAAGCCACATGGACAAGAAGTGACTGGTCTCTGCCTTCCTCAATCCTACAAAATCTTCCGAAACTCGGTGGATTTTGAAGGGTTCGGGTAAGTTATGGGGTTAATTGTAACAAAATGTAGGTGGAAATCTTGACTGATACACTCTACATAATCTGTACTACTTTTTTCCAAGAAATTAGATTCTCTGAATGCAAAAAGTTAGTCCAGTGGAGAAAGTTTTAAAACCTACTGGCTGGTTTCAAAAAACAAACCTATCCAAACAATATGAATTCATTGAAAATTCTTTCATCATGCACTGCTATAACCAAAAACGATATCTTGCCTTAATTTGTGAGCAGCAAGTACTTTGTGTTACGAGCAAACAGCCCTCTTATAAGTTTTGCAGCCAATTTTTACCCAGAAATCCCAACTAGCAGCGACGACTTCATCTATACTAACCAGGACAGCGAGGACAACACTCGTTGCTGGGAGTGATTGGGTTCTCACAGTCCGTTGGGTTGCAGGACTTGCTGGTGCAAATCGTCTGTCCGTCATAGCACTTGCAGCTGGTGCAGGGCTCGGGAGAGAAGGTCTCGCCGTGTTTGTAACCCGCTCCGGTGTCAGTCGGGCAATCCTTGGCATCTTCTGTAGGTCCAATCGAATCAAAAGGGACCTTGCTCAGGACTTTCTGAAGCAGACACATTTGTCTTGGAAGTGTGAAGTATAAAGACACTTGTGGAAAACTACTTCAGTATAAAAAATGGAAAAATGACGCCGTAACAATTGTTTCCTCTAAAACTTGACTTGCAGTTCATGCAAAAACAAAAGTGAAACAACAACTGTACTGTAAACGTGACTTTGTCATTTCTCTTTCAGAAGTCACATCCATCTCAGATGACCAAAACTTGTGACTGACCAGTGCAGCGTCGACAGCATTCCCCTTTGACCTTGACTGTGTCGGCGCAGGTCAGGGTTGGGCAGATGTTCGCCTCACAGTCAATGCGACCGTTGGAGCAGCTGCAGGTCTTGCAAGGGCCCACCTGCCAGGTCTCGCCGTGAGCCCTGGGCTGATCACCTCGCTGGCAGGACTTGGGAGTGGGTACGCCTGAATCAAATGATGCAAGACAAAAAATTGGCATCGAAATTCCAACAGTGGCTTCTTGATGGCTGAAAGATATTTCTATCCACCCTGGGCGGGACCAAGAGAGGGTGTAATAATCCTAGCAAAGGAGGCTCCTTAGGTGGGAACTGAACTTCACTGGTTCACAAACAACTATGAAAAGTATGTGTTAATGTCGCATGGCTACCAACACTCCCCACCATCATGGCTCTTTTCATCCGATGAAGGGGTGCTTCTGCTCAAGGCAGTTAGAAGTCGGTAAATTCAGTTTCAATCCTGAGGTACCCGATTGGACAATACCCTGTCATGTGACTCAGATTAACCAAGCTTGACTAAGATTGTATCCCGTCATTTTTAATGTACGTTTTAAAAGCCACAACCAAACTCACCTGGGCACTTAGGGCAGCATTCCCCTTCAACATTGACTGGATTGTCGCAGGCCGGCTTGGGGCAAAGTTTGTCCGTACAGACGCTGGTACCCTCCATACACTTGCATGTCTTACAGGGGTTGGGTTGCCAGGTCTCACCGTGTTTGTAGGAGGCTCCGCCAGTGGCAAGGCAGGTCGGGATATCCTCTGCAAGACAAATTCAGCAAAGAACTGGTCTGTTTAGTTCCTACACGACACTTCAGTGCGTACTTGTTTTCTAAAACCCTGCTGGCTTGTTGCTAAGGAGGTAACCGGAAACACAAGCCATCTCCATCTCGAGCATGTTTTGGCGACCCGAATCGTGAACTTGTTTCGGATGTGGTCACTGGTGAAGCATTTTCATGACTTGGTTACGCCTCTGTGACGTCACTGTTCCAACTGAACGTGAATCGAAGGTTGAAGTTGGTTCACTGCCAGTTCAAAATGGCACAAAATAAACAGGCAATTTCTGTTACCCTCAAATGATTGAATTAAACATTTCAAAAATCTGTTGTTACATGCAGCAAATCAAAGAGATACTTTCTTCTCAAACGTACGTGGCAAGAGAGAACAGAACTAGTGAGAAACATGCCAAATATTGAGTGAAATTGATGTTCATCAACAGTGTCGTCTGCTTCCTTGCAATTTCCTCTGTCAGAAGATGAAACCATTTCTGGTTCTTCCTTTCTGTGGGCCACCCTTAACATGTTCCTGGTTACTGCTTTGACGCCACAAACATGTGTCTGATTAGGGGTCACCCAAGACACCCCCCACCCACAATGTGGTTTTTTGATACTTGTTTGGCATCGATGAGGGATTTGCTTTCTGAAAGCATGCGTGAAATAACTTCACATTTCCAGATGTGGAGACGATCGACTATAAAACAAGCTTGCCAAGATTTATGGAGGCTGGTATCCATCTCAATGGTAACCAATGGAGTGGAGTAAAGCAAACTTCTGTGACAGCATGTCCTGTGATGCCAATGCACTTTTCCATTTACAGAACCAAGGAAGATGGCAACTTGGCAGGTTACCTGGACATCTCTTGCAGCATTCACCAGCCAGGGTCTTGGGGTCGCTACACGTCAGTAATGGACAACTCTCTGTCTGACAGACCTTGTTGCCATCATTGCAAGTGCAGGTCCGGCAAGGTCCCTTGCGCCAGGACTGGCCCGAGATGTACTCCACGCCGCTCTTGAGACGACACGTCTTGGGTGTAGGATCGGCTGGAGGGAGGATTGGTTAAAAATAAATGTGAGACAGTGGCATGAAGGAAGTGATCGAGATTATCTGAACCTACAGTTTTACAAAATGAAAAAGAGAATTCCATGTCAGTCTGGTGACCTTTGGAACTGAGGTCCCACAGTTAATTTAATTAGGTATTTCCTTCATGGGGACAGTAACATTTGAAAAGCAATCTCCAAGCACTCAATAAAAAGTGAGCCCAACTGCCCCTGGCTAATGGCTAGTTACTCCCACTGACATCACAGTTAGCCTCAGCCAGTTAATTTTCAAAGGGCTTATCCCCAAATCCGGCTTTCCAATTGGGTACTTTTGACAAATAGGCGGGCCTGTGGTCATTCTTACTTGGACAGCGAGGGCAGCATTTCCCCTCGTCACGGACGGTTGTGGTACAGCTGAGGGTGGGACACTTGAGGGTGTCGCATGACGTAGTGCCATCGTCGCATGAACACGTCACGCACTCACTGGCCTTCCACTCCTCGCCATGTTTACGTCTGGTGCCGTCTGAGGCAACGCAGGTGGCAAAGTCATCTTGAATAAATACGACATTTAAATGTCAATACTTGCAGTCTGGAGAATTTCCATATTTGGACGCACTATTACGTCACTTATTTTCTGCAATCTGACCAATCACAAGGCTTGTTCTAGCAGCCTGCAATGGATTGTGGAGGTGTTTCCATGTTTACGGGATTTTTTTTTAAATGTTGCAACATATGGAACGAAAAATTTCAATCGAAAAAAACTGATTGGCAGTGCAAAAAAACTGACTACTGACATAAACTAGAAGTTCTAAAACACCTTTGTACCAATCTGATTTAAAATTTGTCATTGCCAACTTGAGATATTGAAAGTTGAATTTGGACAAAAATTCCCGTATCAGTAGGGAAAAGTCATTATGCCCATATATGGTAATACTTGAGACTGATTTGGTGGAATATTAATTTGTAATGTAGACAATCTTCAATGACAATCACACAATGAAAAAATGGGAAATGAAAGATGAAAAGATACAACTCTGCCGATGTGCTAAAATGAGATGATATTTGAATGTTGACAGAAAAATAAAGACTTTAGCACACTCGTAGCAAGAGCCACGTTCATTGCTGACATCACTAATCGTTTTAATGGCAAAGTTTATATTAGTTTGAGTCAGGTTGTCAGGGTTGATCACCCAAACTTACACGTAGTTTGCTTACTTTTAAGCTAAGATCACGTAATTTCAAGAAGCACCAACGATTGGCAAATGCTGCTCCTGGTTTCAACTTTGACCTACACTCACTGGGCTTACGACCAATCAGTACCTTGCTCATTGGAGTTGTCTCATTCAATTCAAGTCCGTCATGTCTGACATTTTCGGTCTTTTCAATAAGCTACAATATTCTGCTATAACCCAATGAAGCCATGTTCGGTACATCTCCGTACAGGTTGAAAATCCACATCAATGAGGGTGGGCTAGCTACTATGCAGTAGAAAGCAGATTTGACCTACCCACGCAGACTCTGCAGCATTGACCTTTGACCTTGACGGGATTGGTACAGGTGAGTGCTGGGCAAATCGGTGTCTCGCAGTCCGCCTTGCCGTTGCTACAGCTACAGGACGTGCAGTGACTCTTGCCGTACCATCTCTCGCCGTGTTGGTACTCCCGGCCGTTGAAGGTACAAGTCTCAAACGGCTGGCCTATGAAACATTTTTGAAATGAACAAAATAACAGATGACAGAACAGTCCATCAGGCACAAAATGAAATCAAAGGTTTGGGCTAATATAAAAGAGTGGCTTTTACGTTCCCCCCGCGAAAAATTAAAGCTCTCCCTACAAGCATGACAAGGAAATATCCCGGTGAAATACCTTCACACTGTTTGCAGCATTGTCCGGGGAAAGTGAACGGGTTACTGCACGTGAGTTTCGGGCAGAGCATCTCGTCACAATCAATCTTTCCGTTGCTGCACCGGCATCTCTTGCAGTCTCCGTCACGCCATTCCTCACCGTGTGGGTACTCCACGTTGTCAGCCGTTACACAAGATTGGGCATCATCTACATAAAATCATTATAAAAATAGCAGGCTCTTTCAAGATTAATTGTACCTGAATTTTTCACACCATAAATGAGAATTTATACTACACATCTTGACTTTTAATATAAATAAAAAAAACTTCATTATTTTAAATCATTTAAAAAAAAAACTTGAAGGATATTTTGACAAACTGTTTTACGAACCAACAAGAAATTAGTGTACCCTGGAGGTACTTTTTGTTAAACTTGGCCATTTACAAGTGATTGATTCTAGCGAATATTTCTTTCAGATATAAAAATAAAACTAGTCTACGCACCGGGACACCTCAGACAGCATTCACCAGCCACCTTGATGGGGTTGGAACAAGTCAGGGCACCACACGCCGGCGAGTCGCAATTGACGCGCCCGTTGTCACAGATGCAAGACTTGCAGGCGTTCTTGTCCCATCGCTCACCATGCTGGTAAGTACGACCTTTGACCTCGCAGCCTTTAGCTGTCAGTTCAGGCGGATCTGTGTCTGTTTCACAAAAATGTCCAAAGTGAGCGTGCCAAAGTAAAATGCAAGACGGTGACTGGGTGAAGTGTAAGATGAAAGTTAAAGGTAGCAATTTTAAACAGCAGATACTGAAAGGGTTAAGAATTGGAATAATAGAATTAAAAACATTCAGAAGGTCTAGATTAAAGTCAGAAGACATCAAGTGACAAAGAGAACTTCCAGAAATAAGAAGATATAAACCGACATGAATAGAAAAAGGAAAGGGATCAATGAATCGGATGTGGGTAAAAATAAATCAGATTTAAAAATGGGAGTCATGTGTTTAGTTAATAGTGTATTCTTGAACATGACAGGGTGTGTCTGTTAGCAACACAGAGACAGGTAAAGGCGCAAGTAGGACATACGTCATGTGGTCCCCCCCCCAAGAAGTCCAGGTATTGGAGGGTTTGAAGACATGGTGTGGACTGGCATACGTCCACAGTGTTTGCCCTCTCTGAAAAACAGACTTTAGAGGCATTTTGGGGTCACGGTTGTCGGAGGCAAAATAAAGGACAGTCCAGGAAATTGGAGTGATCCTAGTGGGAGAAAGAGGAGCATTTTCTCTGATTTTTCTTTAGCACAGGAGAACAAAGGAATGACCACTCTAGGTATGTGAGACACGCATGTATGTGCTTAGTGTGCACGCTGGGCGGGATACTCAAGCCTTGCTGAAAAAAAAACCTTCTCTACTTTGATGGTGAGGGGATATCACAACTCACCAGGACAGACAGGGCAGCACTGGTTCTCTGGAACCACGGCGTTGGTGCAGTCCACCTTCGGGCAGGTCTGGATGTCGCAGGAGACCTTGCCATTGTAACACTTGCACGTCTTGCAGTTGTCCACCCGCCACTTCTCCAGGTGGTCTCGGACGTCGCCATTGCCGTCCAGTTGGCACTGCCGCATTTGATCTGTGGGACAAACAAACTGATTCCCAGGATGAATGGACTAAAATAAGGGACTGTAGGACTGTCGTGTGAGGCAGCAAAGCTTTGCTGGTGTTCTCAAAGCCAAAATATGGACAAGGGTGCACCAATGGTGTGCATTTATGAGTGGTACAGCAACCAGGTATCCTCCTGAAGTAAAACGTGGGTATTATTGTAAAAGAAATCCAAACTTTAATTTGAAGGAAAAAATATAAATGAAGAAAACATTCCAATTGACGATTCTTTCTTGCCCTAAATGCTACTTAACACACCTTTGGGTGTTTTAACATGAAATCTGTTTTACCATTTCACATGGCCTGGTTTTATTCCAAATCTTTTCCTCACAAACTTTGTTTCTGTTTCTCTTTCTTTGAAAAGTAACAAAATAATTGGTGGAATTCTTTACATGTACCCTGTCCTATAATGTGGAACTGGTTCTTGACAATGACGGTTGGATGTTTGGGTACCGAGTTCCGATGCGCAACCCCAAATACACAGCATTGGTAGTTGAATAACTACTGACCAACAGCACTTGAATGAAGTCCTCCTACAGTTGGTACCAAGCAAGAGGCCTCACAGTCTTAGGCGTCTTCAAAGTCTGAGATGACCGCATCAACTTACCAGGGCATTTCTTGCAGCATTCACCCTTAACCGTGACTGGGTTGTCGCAGGCCGGCCGGGGACACGTCTCCTTCTGGCAGTGGATTTCCCCGTCGGCACAGGTGCATTGCGAGCAGTCGTTGGGGCTCCAGAACTCACCGTGCTTGTACTTCTTGCTGCCAGAACGGCAGAATTTCAGTGGGGCTACTCCTGTCAGGGTGGACAATTGAGACAGATAAGTTGGCGTAACGCTGAAAAGTGACGGTGACGCTAATTATAAAGTTGAAATTGCCACTACAGATGACGACGACGATTCAGGGAATAGTTGGAGCATGAAAATCATCTGTTGGAGCTTAAGTGGATTTGGAGGGGCATGTTCAAAAACAGATGCGATTGCCACGCACATCAATCCAGACACTCTGAAGTTAAGGCTTGATTTACCAACATTAGAAACAACCTTCTCTGAGAGTGATTGGTAACGATCATGTCCTCAGTTCATTCTCCCACCAATCTTATTCTACAATGCAAACTGCTGTTGGCATAATGGGAAAACCAAGCTCAGTTCCAACTAACCAGGACACGTTGGACAACATTCGCCTTCCACAACAGTCGCGTCACTGCAGTCCGGTGCCGGGCAGCTCTGAAGATCGCAGACCACCGCGCCGTTGTCACACCGGCAATCCGAGCAGGGATTCTCACTCCATTTCTGACCGTGTTTGTAGGTGTTGCCGTCGACCTCACACGACTTCACGTCCTCTGTCGAGACAAGTGGGGAGAATTGGATTTCATTTGTGTCTGGAAAACCGAACAAATCGCTTGTACACACTTTTTCTCGACGGTATTTAAGCTTTGGAATTTTCAGAGAAACAAACAAATCAGTGAAAGTTTACAAAACTGAGAAAAGAGGTGAAAAATGTCATGGCTGGTGACGGAAGCAGCTCCCAAGACACAGAGACAAAGATCTGAACCCAAGGGTCAGGAATCAACCACCATACCTGGGCATTTCTTGCAGCATTCACCCTTGATGCTGACCGGGTTGGTGCAGGTCAGGTCAGGGCAGAGTTCATTCTGACAAGACCACTGGCCGTCCTCGCAAGTGCACATCTTGCAGTCGTTCTTGCGGATTACAACACCGTGCTTGTATTCCTTCTTCTTGTAGGTGCATTTCTTGAAGGCGGGGTCACCTGAACGGATCAGCAGGAGATAGAAGTCAGATGTTTAAAGTAAGTCACTGAATCTTCCGAGTCGAAGGGATCAACTCCAATGACAGGCAAGTCAACTGGTCTGAATTGGACTGGACATAATTTTCTAATTCTTGGAGAAAAATAATCCTGAAGTAGGAGGCCGACAGGTGGCATGTACCTTTGCACTGCTTGCAGCACTGTCCAACGTCCTCGGTCTCATCACAAGTGAGGACGGGGCAGACCTCATGGTCACATGACACACTCTGGTCATCGCAGGTGCAGTCGGTGCAGACCGATGCAGCCCAGGTGGAGCCATGTTCATAGGTGGCATCACCAACGGTGCAGGATTCAGCATCAGCTGCAGAATATTTTAGAGAAAATGAGTTATGTACACAAATCATAACGTCAAATGAATTACATCAATAGAACACAAATTAATGTTGAAGTTCTTTGGTGCTTGCAACTAGCCATCAGAATTGGAAAGAATATCGAAACTAGGATTGGCGAGTAACTAACAAGTCAAATGCGAAAACGGATTATTTGTCACAATTAAAGAGAGCGCAACTCTGCATGGAATCTATGCAATGCTGTCATTGGACGAAGATGACAAATCTCTTACCGGGGCAAACCGGACAGCACTTGCCCTCCTCCTGGATGGGTGTGCCTTCGCAGGCCAAGCGAGGGCAGGATTCAAAGCTGCAGGCTAAGTCGCCATCGATGCAGGTGCAGCTCTTGCAATCGTCCACCTGCCACCATTCGCCATGGGCGTATTCCTGGCCTCGGTAGGTGCAGGAGTCAGGGCGCAGCGCTGGCTGATCTACAGGAATAACCAGACCCCAAAACAAAATGACCAGATCTTGCAAAGTGGGTCTGAAGGACCTTTTTCTTGATGCCAATCAGAACAGGCTGGCCTGTCATCCATATGGATCTCACCTGCACAGCTGTCGCAGCATTGACCTTCGACGGGGACAACTTTGTCACACTCGGGAGCCGGGCAGAGGCGCGTATTGCAGGAGATATCGCTGTTGAAGCAGGTGCATCGTGTGCAGTCGCTGATGGCCCATCGCTTTCCGTGAGGGAAGGTGTTGCCGACAACATCTGTGCAAGGCTTGGTCTGGTCTGGAAGTTGAGATGAATAGTTAAGACAGTTTGAACGTTGTTGAATTCTGAACTCAATTCCAACAAAGTCATATTCTCGAGTAAAGTAGATCTGCATGAGACAGAATTCTCAACTTTTTTGAAAAACAAGACCAATCCACAAGGCTAGGAGTACTCTTTCTTGTTGGACTCTGTGATGATCTTCCACAACTATCATCAGATTCAATAATACTCAACCCCAAACATACCTCCCCTTATTAAGTGCCACTCTGAAGAAAAAACGAGGGGGTTTCCAAAATCTCCACATCGATAATCTCTGTCTCTAGCTCTAGGATTCAGCCAAGTAAATTTAATCAGCCCGCTTTGTGAATATGAGGTCACCAGTGATAACCAGTTTGCATGCCCCAAAATACAAATGGACATTACTTGGACAGAGATGGCAGCATTCTCCTTCCACGAACACCTCTTGACTGCCGGGGCAGAAGAGCTCGGGGCACTGGATGTCCTTACAGCTGACCGTTCCGTCGTTACAGTTACACTGGGTACAATCCTCCGGGTTCCAACGGTAGCTGTGAGGGTAGAAGTTGTTCTTGTACTCGCAGTCGCGGGCCGGCGCCACATCTGAAGTTAGCAGAAGACGAGACTGACTCCAGTTTCTCATGATTATTTGACGACAGCTTACTTTTTCAGATATTTATGGTATAAACACTGATTGTGACACAAAACGATTCTAGAACCTGGTCAAACTAGCAATCCTGTATAGAGGTTTTGCATGTGACTTAACATGACGGGCAAAGGCATTTCAGGAAGCAAACCATGTCCGTGGAGGGGCATGCATTTTTGAATCTGTGTATTTCTGTAGGCCGTTTCATGTACGGCAGAATGTGGAGAGACTTCAAAGGCATGAGCGTTTCTGTGCACATCCGTGTTAATTATTAATTATTAATTATTTATTACTACATGAAAAGTCTGAAACATTTATGGCGACTTCAGGGAGCTGAAATGGGAATTATAGAACAGCCAGGGAAACACGGAGTAATAATAAGAGGCACTGGAACATGAAGCCGGACTTGCATTTTCTGACCTAATATGGTAAACTTCAAAGCTGGTCCCTGTTTCAAACACAAAGCCACTGCCCACTGCAAAGTAACCTTTATATCAAGATGCAGTTTTTTTCTGGGGAATTTCAATGGATTTGAAATGTGTTCACATTTTTTGAATTCTTGGCATGACTGTGCACAAGACATCACAGATGCGTGTGAGCTTCTCCTGTAGCTACCAAAATTTCCATGACTTGCTGGAGTTGGGTTGGAACCCACGACTCCCTTGGTTTATGGGCGCCAAAACTACTCCAAAAAAGCACTAGGATAACCAAGACCAAGGACTGAGCCAAAGTGGCTGGGACATGAGACAGACTGGCGGAGGGAATAACTCACCGGGGCACAGCAGGCAACATTTGCCTTCCACCGCGATGGGGTTGTCGCAGTCTGGTACCGAGCACACCTCGGTGTCGCAGGTGACCTGGCTGTTGTCACAGCTGCAGACACGGCAGTCGCCGTCCTGCCACGTCTTGCCATGGTCGTAGGTGGCGCCGTTGAACTCACACGACATGGCCTCCTCTGGGAAACGCGGCAAAAACCACAATGCGAAATCAGTAAATGCAAACTGCGGAGAAGGCAAACTGGCTTTCAACTCATCGTTACTGACTTATCCACCTTAATTGCATCACCTTACATCGAGCGTATTCCAGTCGGTGACAACTGGAATAGTTAAGTTGATCTTTCAGAATCAGATGAGAAAGTTTGGTTACATTACTCATTATCAAGAGACAAACAAAAGTAGACACTATCACTGTGGTGACATCGCACTCACATGCACATGTTTGAATTTGCGGTGTGCGAGTCAAGCAACCCCATTGGTCAAACAGGGATTAACCGTTGCTATGACCCCAATATCATAACATCTGGCCGGGAGCAAACAGGAACAAACTCGTTTTGATATTTGGCACAGTTCCAACAGAGATCAATGTGTATGCATCAGCCATCATTTGATTGCCGGTTGTCGGCACTAGACGGCACTACTCACCTGGGCAAATCTTACAGCACTGTCCTTCCTGAGCAACGGGCTCGCCTCCGGTGCACTGCAGCAGGGGACAGTTCTCCGTGGTACAGGTCACGATGCCGTCGTTACAGCTGCAGGTGGTGCAGACGTCAGGCCGCCACTCCTGCTGGTGCGAGTACATCACGCCGTTGTCCCGGCACATGTTGCGCAGAGGCTCGCCTGCAGATTGCCGTGGCAACATTTCAATGTCGGAGAGCATGAGTTTGATCCCCTTTCATGAATGAACACTCAGCACGTTGTTCGGGTCATCTTTTCCAGTTTGAGCGAGCTAAATTCATGCACGCTGAGTGTATACATACAATGAATCATGAGCCAAGACAGACATTGGCTTCTGAGCTTTGAAAATGAAATCCCATCATGCAACATTAGGGATGAGATTGTGAGATGATATATCCATAAAGAATCCAATAGAGGGGGCTCGTAATTATGACGACAATCAAATACTGTGACTCTTGAGGGACTTGTCATAGCTAGATATGTGACTTCTCTCCAACATAAACAGTGCACCTTTTTTGCACAAAGTGCCCCAAAGTAGCAACACCTGACCGTTTCAACTTCTTAATATCTGATTTCTATTTTAAGTCTGAAAACAACCTGACATATCAAACTTTGCAGTATTTTTCAATCCTGTGACGTGTGGTCAAGCAGGACCTTGAAGTGAATGACACAGTGTCCATATAAATAATGTTTGAAGGCTGACCATCTTTGTAGTCGGGTCAAATGTACTTGACTATGGCTCCTCTGAAAAACAATAAGCCTATTCAATAGATACATGCGTTGTTGACAGCTATAGCCGAGTCAATCCAACACAATCTATGGAGGTGTCCTGGTTAAGAAAGCAGAAGTACATGGGTTTGAGCGCTCACCAGGGCATCGGGGACAGCAGATGTCGTCTAGCTGGAGAGGCTCGGGGCAGGAGAGTTCGGGGCAGGTCTGGTCCACGCAGTCCACCGTCCCATCGATGCACTGGCAGACGCGGCAAGGATCGGGCTGCCACTGTTCCTTGTGACGATACAGGACGCCACCCACCGAACACGAACGTGTCTCCGCTGCCAGAGAAGAAAAGAGATATACTGTCAGTGCAAATGGTCACATGTCGAAAAAACAGAAGTCAGGAAATTTAAACCCGGCATATCATGATGGAAATGATAGTATGTTGCTGAGGGAAAGAATCACTTCCCGTAGATATGCACCTTTTCTGGTATTTCCTAGGAGGCCAAACAATAATTTTTTAAAGATGCTTGTCTTCAAAATTCATCTTTATATCTCTTTAACTCCGTTGTTAATTTTCATTTGTCTTCTACATCTAAGGGAGCTTTGGTGCCTTCCTTCTTTTCAGGCTCATGAAAATTTGCATATTCATGAGCAAAATTGTGATACCTTCCCAGGAAAAAACCTCAATGCTGCAGTTATTTCAGCACCAAATAAATTTGGAAAATACAAATGAAAGTCAAAACATAAACTAAAATTTCAATGATTTTTGTCCAACTTGCGATATATTTCAAAAAGCCACAGAGCAGTAGCTAGTCGCACTATTTCAGGGCCAAATCATTTGCAATCCCAATATTCTGGTTCCATGACCCGGGCAAACTTTTTAATCATCTCAACATAGAATTCCATTTTGCAAAGGACCGGTGCATTTTATGGTCGATGTACCTAAGATGGTTGATAAATTGCTACATACCAAACAGAATATGAAAATAAAAATCAGTGATTGAAACCTTTCTTTGGCTTAGAATCTATTTCTGCCAAGCTACATATCTAGGGAATCCATGAAACTCAGTCTCTTGTGTCTGAGGGCTCAACTGGCTGGATGGGTGACGCTTACCTGGGCATCGGCGACAGCACTCTCCGATGACATTCTGAGGGTTGTCACAGGTAAGGATGGGACACTGCTCTAGCCGACACTCTTCCATTCCGCCAACGCACCTGCAGGTCAGGCACTTGGTCTTTCGCCAAGCCTCGCCAGGGCTGAATGTGCCGCTCGATGTTTCACAGGGTGGAGGATCGTCTGACAAAGAACAGCAAATTTGAAGGGGGATATTAAAAAAGCCAGAATAAAGAAGAAACCACAGAAGGAGTATGGAAAGCCTATCTGTTAAAGGATCCAGGAAATGAATTTTTCTTAGAATTACTTTTTGTGTATCTCTGTACTCTTCTCTCATGTGTGAAGACTGGTTGACATCATTTTGAGTTACGTAAAGTGAATGGTGCACTTTTTCAAACATTTCAAATTGACCAAGCATTTCTGGACAAGTGAGGGCGCTTTTGCTTTGATGTAAATCCAGGAAGACATGGTTCAGGTTGCATTGTTTTCATGTTCAAATTGTGAACCCCAAATTTGATATCTGGGAACATTTCTCTGAAAAGAATTTTTGCTGGATTATTGCCATATATACTTACACAGCAATAAATTGCCAAAGAAAATAAAATCTGCCATAGCAGTGGTAAAAAAAAAAATCGAGAAATTTTCTGTGCACAAATCAGTGCAACATTGAGATTCGGTGCCTTTGATGACATCACAGTTCTACTCATGAATATGCAAAATTCATCAGCATAAAACCAAAAAGCACCAAAATATGGGTCGAAATTGCAGAACAAAAATTAGAAATGAGGTTAACTGAAATCCAAAGATGTAATTTCAAGAGTTTTTAGTAAAATTTATAAAAATATTTCTATTTCCTGGTTCCTGTAAACAAGAAGTGATATTTCTTCTAAAATGAAGAAAAAGAGATTATGAAAAGCTAGCAGCACTGTAATTAATTGACGGTGATCAATCGAAATTTTGTAATCAAAAGAAACCTTCATTTCCATCTTGAACCAACGAAGTCACTGTCACCGTCTCTTGTCAATTAAAAAAAATCACCACTTTTTAATGGCAAAGTATATTTAGAAAATTAGTTGTGCTCCATTGAGGGGAAAAAAAATATAAAATTTAATTTTGACTGAGAATGGACCTGAAATCTTATCTGAAGAAACAGTGCTCTTTGTAGGTAAAGCTATAGGTACTGCAATTTGAAGTCATGGGTTCGAATCCACTTCATTTTCTTGTGAACCTGGGCAGAGTTGTTAGATTTGAAATTGTAAGATCTGCGAGCGCTCTGCAATTGAAACGTTGGTCGGGGCACTGGTAGAGCGATCTGAGAGGTGAAGGGGTTCGAATCCTCTCCGTCAAGTTCTTGCTCACCTGGGCAGCGTCGGCAGCACTCGCCTTCGGCTACGGTTGGGTTGTCGCAGGTGGTGGCCGGGCAATTCTGGTAGGTGCAAGAGGTGGAGCCGTCGTTGCACGTACAGCGCGAGCAAGGATCGGCCTGCCAGGTGGCACCGTGGTCGTAGTCGACGCCGCCATAGCTGCACACCTTGGCTGCATCTGTCGGAATAGGGGAAGGGGCAAATATCGATGGGGAAGGGGCAGGTGATCGGCGTGTGCATTCACAGAAATTTATTCTCACACCCGCACGCAAGCAATGCTGTCTGAACCAAGATTTAAGATCCATATGTCGGAGGCGATCACAGGCAATATCGCAGCGGTACGTATCCACTAAGGACACCGATTAAAAGTGAAAAGCCTTTCCATATTTAAGATGACAGATTTCCAGTCTACCCAACCTTTAATCGTGCAGACCAGTTTCAAAGGACACCTTCCGCCAAAGAGGTTCCTATGAATAGCAAATATTTGCTTGGTGGAACAGATAACTGACCAAAATTTCCGACAGTGCATTCTCTCCGGTGGCTGGTTCCCCGCTTATTCCTGCTCGGCACAAAACTCGGCTGAAAGCGGTGTAACCAACTCGGATCCTGGCACTCACCTTTGCAGCGAGGGCAGCATTCGCCCTCCACGTCCACCGTCTCCGTACAGGTCAGCACGGGACAGACCTCTGGGTCACAGAGAATGCCACCGTCCACGCATTGACACGTCGTGCAGGTGTTTTTCTTCCAGGTTTGCCCGTGTACATATCTGTAGCTCTTGTACAAGCAAGTTGGCTGGTCTGTGTCAAGGCATGAAGCGGGAGCAATTAGAAACGGTCAGATTGTCTGAGATTTCTCCTAGAAATTCTTAGGGGGGGTGCATGGTCTAGTGGATAGGGTTGTATTGAACCCCCAATCATAGAGTCAGGGGTGCGAATCCAGCCATGGGTTACTAACTCTGACCCTGGGCAAGTCATCTTACTCTCATTTGCTTCTCTCCACCCAAGAGTATAAATGGGGACCTCCGAGGGTAGAGAAGGTTACTGTGTTGGCCTACACTGATGGCTGCATCCTTCTCTGGATTCCCTGGAGAGCTGAGATGGTTTTCAGAGTACTTATGAGGCAGATAAATTACGACAGCAATAAGCATCTCACTCTAATTTAGTGGATTGTGTGATTTATAAAAAATAAAAATTATTGTTCTTGTAGTCACTGAGTAACCTTAAAAAATGCCTTGCATTAATTTGTCCAAAATTTTCGCTCTCAAATTCCTCAATACAGACAAATATTGAAAAAGCAGCCTCTTTCAGAACTGGGTTTTCCTAACTTACCTGGGCAAGTCTGACAGCAAGAATCGTTCAGTGAGATAGGATTATCACACTCCGGCGTCGGGCAGGTGTCACTAAGACAGGTGAACTCGGCGTTGGAGCAGGAACACTGTTGGCAGGTCGCGCCAGTCCGCACCACACCTCTTACCCCATGAGGCACTTCAACGCCTTCCACCATGCATGGCCGAAGATCCTCTGAGTTGGGCGGACACAAAACCAAAAACTGGAATACTAAGAGGGCGATTTTCATGACGTAGTTCATTCGTTGCAAAGACATTGAATCTTCACAATTACACCAAACTTGGACAAGCGTCACTAAGGTGTACCTTTGTACTTGACGCAGGCGTTATAACTGGCCTTCATCTTTCACTGGTGAATTTTAGGTTTGTTTTCAGTGCTTTCTGAGAGCAAATGTGGTTTATGGTAAAAAATTTCTAAGGCTTTGATACTCGGGTCTAACTTGAATCCTAAACCTCATTTTTGTTACAGATATCTTGCCATTCCAATAACGAGCTATGGTGGCGTGGGCAGGGTGGCTCTCATCCAGCTACAGAGGAGGGTTCTACCGTTTGCTCCACAAAAAATACCAGGATCCTAGACATGAATAAACTGGGTTGAAATTTACTGAAAGTCAGCTGGTGATCGGCATGAAATACCTGGACACTTCAGGCAGCATTCACCAGCCGGCAAGACGGGGTTGTCGCAGGTGACCCTCGGGCAAGGCTCTGGTAAACAGCTGACCTGTCCTTGCTCGCATCGGCAAGTTTCACAATCGCCGCGAGGCCACTGTTGGCCGTCAGAGTACTTTCGGCCATCCATGTCGCAGGGACGTCTCAGATCACCTGAAACCACAACATGCATTGATATCGCTCAGTCTATGATTTACCGGCCTGACTGAGAACTATGATAGTAGATTGGGGACCAGACCAGTTGTTATCAGTGCCGAGGACAAATAATTTGTTGGCACTCCATTTGACATGTGAGTTGATTTGTTCTGATTTGAAACGAAATCTCAAAGAGGATGATTCGCTTTTGAAAGCGAAGACATTTGCCTTACTTTTTGAAATTTGTGAATTTTCATGTGGTGGAACATTAAAAATGTTGATTTATGGTTGGACGTTGGACATTTACCCATCATTCTGTTCTTACCATGACACTGAGGGCAGCATTCACCCTGGACCAGGAAGGCGTTGGCCAAGCTACAGCTGAGGGCAGGGCAATTCTTTTGGTTGCACGTCTTGACGCCGTTGGTGCACTGGCACTCCATGCAACTGTCATCACGGAACACCTCGCCATGCTTGAAGGTCTTGCCATCAATCTCGCAGGGTTGGGCATCCCCTGGTGAGCAAAAGCTATTTGTCATTTCCTGTCACCTGGAAATTGTGGTCAAGCATCTTGCCTGAGAACACAAGCGCACCACCATCCCCTCAAGCATTGGAACCCTCATATCCACCTGATACACGACCCCAAGGACCAAAGCAGGCGGTCTAGGGAGGAACTCTACTCACCTGGGCAGACACGGCAGCATTCACCCTTGACAACCACAGGGTCGTCACAGCTCAGCGGAGGGCACTGATCAGCGACGCACACGACGGCTCCGTCCTCACACGTGCACAGGGTGCACTTGTCCTTACGCCATTGTTGACCGTCTGTGTATGCCATGTTATCCAACGAGCACGGGGGAACCGGTGACACTGACAAAAAGACGGTAAAAAAAAGGATAATCCCCCACCCATCTATTGGACCAGAGCTCCTTGGCTGAGCAAAACATCAAGACTGAACTTTCACGGGGACAAGGTTGTTCCCTTGGAAAAGTTCAGTCGAGTAAAGTAGATTTAACCTGGAGTCTGTTACCAAGACTTACGGATTATTTTCAGCTGGCTGATATTTTTTGCTCTCTTACAAAGAAGGAACATCTCATATTTCTCAATAATATACAGCACTTTATGAATTCAATGTTTCTGCACTGATTTTGGTATTCCGAAAAACAGCAGTTATAATGGGGTGACTTATGCTTACCTTCCGGACAAGTTGGGCAACATGACCCTTCCTCCGTGACTGGACTGTCACAGCTGAGCTCTGGACACATCAGATCGGAGCACTTGACCACGCCATTGTCGCAGTAGCACTCCTTGCACTGACCAACGCGCCACCGGTCATTGTGGGAGTAAGTTTCCCCCTTGACCACGCATTTTGTGATATCAGCTGAGGAGAGAAAGACGAACAAACAAACCAACAACTATTACAACTGCAACATTCTTGATCAATACCACTGACCAAAGCTGTAAATTTTGGGGGCTAACTAGAATGCACCATAACTTGACCAAGTTTTTAGTGCTTTATAATTTCAGTGTAATAAAGGGATCCCAATACGACGCTTTTAGCGTCTATCTGCGCACTTCCGCATTTGAAAACGAGGCTGTATGCGTCAGCTTCAATTCTTAATACGATCAGACGATTGAAAGTAAGGAGTCAAGACACAAATACATAACGGTATGTTAAATTCAGACTTTTCAGGCTGCAAATTTTAGTTGAGTCTTTCAGAATGATTTCGACATGTGAAATCAAAAGAAAAATCAATGACAATTTTCCGCGAACTAACGTACCTGCGATGGTCGTGTATCTTGTGCAGTGGGCATGGTTTGAACTGAAGTGGCGTAACACTTACGAACCGGATACTCCATGTACTGTGTGGACTCCGCGGGCGCGTGCGACGAAGTTCAACACAGAGAGCCTTGGTTTTGATGCGGATATGCGCAGACGGCGCTAATATGAAATCCATCTATGCTTCAACAAAATCCCAATTCTCATTATCCTGCGCTTCTTTATTAAAGATGCCCAGATCCAATAGTCTTGTTCCCTAAGCTGTTGACCTTTTCAATTTTGACCTTTGACCCTTACATCTGCATCTGCTGCAGCATTCTCCTTCCAAGATGACCTCTCCCTCTGCGCTACAGGCTTTGGCTTCGCAGGGCTCACGGTTGCAGATGACCAAGCCGTCGTTACAGTAGCAGTACAGGCAAGGGTCGGTCTTGAAGAACGTGCCATGGGCGTAGACCCGCTGGTCGGGTGTGACGCAGTTTAGACGCTGGGGACCAATGACGGGATCATCTGCAGGGAAATGGGGAGGGGCGAAGCGACGTTATTTGAAGCAATGAAAAATCTTATAGATGGAACTTCAAGGGACATAATGTTTTAACAATCGCTTGACTGTTAGAGTCGAAAAATATTGACAGCATTGTCTCCAAAAGCCTGAATCCTACAAATCCAGAGAAAATCTACGAATGATGTGAATACAATTCTTCAGAATCCAGGTACAGACGAATATGAAATGACACTGCTGCAGCGGAATCACACTCACAGGCGTGTCCTTACACTTGAGTGCACACGCACATTGGCAAGTCACAACACCCTATTGGTTGGAGAAAGGAATCTTACCACCAATTGCTGGACCATTCTGGATGTTGAGAATTTCAGCTGTAACTCAATGAGACCTTTTTTTTTCCCAAATTTGGAGGTCTAGCTTTGGGCACTGGTGCCCACAACCCAGACGAGGCTTTGGCTACAAAGTCCGAATCGGCACCCAAGGAATTTTTAATCATTAGCAATGAGGGAAGCAGCTCCGTTTGAAACTGAGAATGCCCAGTCTAAAAAAAAAAAAATTTGATAAGAGCAATGAAGCGGACTTACCTGGACATTCCAGGCAGCATTGGCCAGGAACCTTCACAGGATTATCACAGGTGAGCTTACGGCACACACTGCCCCAGCAGTAGAAAGCTCTGTCGTAGCACATGCAATCAACACACTCGTTGATGCGGAACACGGCCAGGTGTGGGTAGGTGTTACCAGCGAGAGTGCAGGCCTTGGTGTCATCTTGGAAATAAAAACAGTGACAATTCTTGATAAAAGTGTACGACTGACAAAAAAAGTTGGCCACCATCGACTGAGGCACAAGTCTTGAACAGAATCCTGCGCGGTGTCAATCTACCAGAATCCTCAACATTTTCCCCTAAAAAAGTGGCCATCGTCACAATGCCACATTGGGTGATTTATTAAAACAAAGCACAAAACGAAACAAAATGACTGAAAAAGTGGGCGCCGCTCACCAATACCAAGGTGGAATCAGCTAAAACAATCTAAAGCCTAGTCTGGACCGGCTGGCACTGTAAGAGATGATGATATTTTTTTTAAGGTGAAGGAAGTAACTGAACATATTCGTTTCCGCTTACCAACGCAGACGGGACAGCAGGCGCCGTCGGGCTTAACCTGGTTCTCACAATAAAGCGGCGGGCAGAGTTCCTCTACACAGGAGGTAGCGCCGTTCAGACACGTGCAGTAACCGCAGTTGGTGTACCAACGGGAACGGTGCTGGTAGGTCAGCCCAGAGTCTGTGGTGCAGTCTTGTTCCGGTGGTGGTGGAGGATCTGCCAGAAAGACATAGGACTTCAAAGTCATTCTCGCGTCCAAAAACTAGCTTTTCTTCAATAAGATTTTTCCTCTCCCTTAAAATGCAACACGGTACACAACGACGTCGGTCGACTTGCGCTCGGTCTTTCACGCACATTTACACCCCATATGGACATTCTTTCTTCGTGTGAGAATCCCAATATGTCTCTCTACAATCAATGTGAACCTGATTTTGGTCTGAAGTCCTCAGATGCTCACCTGTGCAGATGGGACAGCACTGTCCTTCCACCTTCTCCAGCACGTTGCAGCTTTGCTGAGCCATGCAGCCGATTCGTGCACACCAAATCCTTCCATCCTGACACCAACAGTCTTTGCAGTCGTTGACCCGCCAACGGGCACCTTCCCTGTAGCTCTGGCCCAGGTAAGAGCAGCTTGGGGTGGGCTCTGTAGGGTTGAGTCAAAACAGAAGTGTCTTGTGAATGGTTCGATCTCTTTATAATGTGCCCCGGCTAATAAAAGTAATCGGTGCGAGACAGTCTTCAAGCTTTATAGTGTCATTTTGTTGCCAACAGCAAGAGAAGAATTTTTCCTTCTCAGAGGAAATGTCTGCAGCCTACAAACCTGCACAAGATTCGCAGCAATCGCCAGGCTTCAAAATGACCGATGTCAGCGGGCAGTTCAACGGGGGACAAGGAACGCCGACGCAACCAACCTGGCCATCCTCACAAATGCAGTTGCTGCACGGGTTGGACTTGAATGTCGCCCCGTCTGGATACACGTTACCAGCATAAGTACAGAATTTCTCTGGAAGGCAAAAAATAATGAAAATGGAGAGGCAGGTGTTTCAATCGGGGAGCAAGTGGACAAAAGGTAAACTTCAGATGTCTCAACCTCAACACTTAAAGTCCCACGACCCTTCTTTCTCATTTTCCACAAACCCCTGCCCTAACAAAGGGGAGTGTCCGTTTGTCTTGGTAATAAAATTAAACTGATTCTCAATTTGTAATTGTCCTTATGATAACATGACTCATTTGCAATGCATTTGTAAAACTTTACGACCTACCTTACCCCATGGAAGCTGCCACTGATCAGTTCAACTCACTACCCCTAGAGAGGTGCATTTTGTCACCTTAGCAAAATAATTCAAACCCATTAGCTGCTCCGGCTGGTTGGTGGAACCATTTCACCCAGGGTCAGGGGCCTCACCTTGGCAGGAGGGACAGCAGGCTCCCTCCAGCAGAATGGGGTCAGAACACCGTGGAATGTCGCAGTTGACCTGCCTGCACTTGACGGTCAGCGAGGTGGAGCAGTCGCAGGTGACGCAAGCCGACGGGTTGAATGTGGTTCCGGCCTTGTACTGTTCCCCCTCATACATGCAGAAACCCTCCTCTAAAAATGGGAACAAAAATTGGTCACTGTTGATCACCGTTTGGGGCCCGGAACAAGAAATATCAGGTTGGCTTCTTTGATGAATTCAAAGCTGACCCGTGAGAACGACAGAAGGAAAGAGCACTGCTTACATCACTGATGACCATGGAATAATGTAGTCAGATTTTTGCCTGATGGTTTGTGAACGGAAAAGGATCATTACCTTCGCAGATGGCACAGCAGTCACCCTCTCTTCTGACAGGGTTGGGGCACTCCAGCACCGGACATGAGGCGGGCACGCAGAAGATACTACCCCCCTCCAAACAGGAACAGAACGAACAGGGTTCGGGCTGGAACCGCTGACCTTTGACATAAGTCTTGCCCTTGTATTGGCATGGGGTGTCACCTGAGGAGGTCATCAAATCAGATCATATCCAAATCCAAAGCCTGCCTGTCCATCGGTTAATTAATCAATCAATCCATCAGTAGGGAAAGTGTAAAAACTTGATGGCAAATCTTTCTAAACCAATTTTTCGAAGACCTCTATTTGTAATATCACTTTCCTGACCTGTTCAAAACTAATGATTTGAATTGTCTTCAGTATTAAACAGTTAGACAACACAGATCAATAGATCCATGAAGAGTCTAAATCTTAAAACAATACTCGGGACTAAGCCTGTTTGATATGACGATATTTCACGATATTTCGATATGATGTTGATATCCGATGTTGTATTGTTCGTAAAAACACATATCAGGATATCGTGCAAATTGATATGCCGAAAATTATCGCGATAAGCTCCAAACGGTGTACTGTACATGCACACAGGGAAGTCAATGCACCGCGTGTTGAGCCCTGTATTACTGCATTTAGGCCACACAAATACTCCCATTGAAAACCTCCAACCACAAAGTCACTGTTGGCCCTAAGTAGCTGCAAGGGTCTTACAAGTATTAGGGGGCAGACCGAAACCAACAGACTGTATGCATGTGTAATGTATTGTACAGTAAACTCCAGCTAAGTCGGCTCTCTCACTCGGTACTCAAGATCGTCATACTGCACCCCCGTGCCGCACACGATCACGGCCGTTTTCCAATACTCAACTTCGTCTCCATCTCAGGCTTCGTCTCCAACACCAATTCCTGATTGTAGGCCTGAAGCATTGTCAATTACATTGAAGAACTGTAATGTTTGCCTCTTTTGCATCTTACTTGATGTTTTGTGCCACTATCAAACTTGCTATTGCGATTACAACTTCAAAGTCAGGTAGTAAAAAAACAGTTGAAGCCTGAACAGAGATGAAGTTGAGTATTGGAAAACGGCCTACATGTTAAGTTCGTTCAATAAGGCGACCCCCCAATATGGACAGAGTGCATGCTTGTAGCCCAAGAGGGGTCCCTGGTATTGATGTACTCAACCACGTGCATGCATCAGTCAAGCAGTGTGGGGCTTGACGCTTCTAGGCGCGATATTTTTATATCACAAGAAGGATATATTGTGGTCTTGTAGAAAAGTGAAACATGCGGACTTAGGAGAAATAAATGACGACTTAGAAATGAGGTGAGGGCATCAATATCAGTAGCTCCTCTAGTAACACGCATGTGCTCTGTCCATTTTGGGGGTTGCCTTATTGATCGAACTTTACTGTTAATGTGTGCGGGGAAATGGCTTTTTCCGTACGGTGTTATGATATGATACATGATAATTTAATGTCCACAATTTCCAAGTTGAAATTTATTTTCCACCAGCATATAAGAGTTCTAAATGTAGAAATACTGCATCGGCCTGTACATCGTTCTTGTTTTTTTATGTGGCACTTGAGACATGGTGATTTCGGTCGTGTTTATTTTATGAATGGAAAATGACGCCATCACGATTATATCAGATATCGCGATATTTTTTCATGATGTCGTGATATGAAAAGAACTGAATATCAAACAGGCTTACTCTGGACAAAAACAATGTTACTCCTTTTGCACGGATGAAGCTTTTGCTTTGCAGATTCAGATCTAGCATACCTGGGCATTGGTCACAGCAAGCATCAGGGACATCTTCTGCGGTACAATTCAGCTCGGGGCAGACCTGGGCTTCACACGTCGTTGCTCCCTGAATGCATCGGCATGAAGTACAAGCGTTCTCGTCCCACTGGCTGCCGTGGGGACGGATTCCGGACTTGGTGATGCAAGGTTCAGCTAACAACAACCAGGGGGGAAAAAAATGGTTACTCCTGCTTGTCGGTCCTGACGAGCACTAAACAGACCTTCTCAGGTCGCGTTCAAACGATGATGAGTTGCTGTAGCCAATTCCTTTGAAGGCTTAGACAAACGTGTTCATGGCACCCAAGACAAGAAAATCAGGCTAAGCCTTATCCAGTTCCAGTGGTATGCACAAATGGCTTCTTTAAAGCCATTTCTATCCGTATTTGCCCACTCACTCAGGATGTGGGTAACAAGTGATGACATAGCGTCTTACCCATAGACACAAACAACCCTGCAAGTTAGTACTGATCTCACAATGTACCAGTGCACCCACACGATTTTTGAGTTGGACGCACTAGACATTTCAATGTTGCAGTCCAAGTATTAAGAGCATGATCGGTTATAGCCAAGTAATGTAACCAAACATTTACATTTTTGATCCATTGCACGCAATCTGCGTCACAAGTCATGAATCAAATCCCAGCCATGGTCAAGTTCGAGACCGAGTCATTATCCAATGTGACTCGAGTCGAGTCCGAGTCATGAAAAATGTGACTGCTCGGGGTGGATATTCCAAGTCAACTTGTTCAAGAACGACTTGATTGGAAGTCTTCCGAACACCATGCTGACATTAAACCGAACAAAGATTTCTCAACTTGAATGCTACCCAGAGACAAAATGAAGCAAACCTGGCTACCCACCTGGACATTCCAGACAGCACTGGCCCTCTCGACGGATGGCATTGGGACAGGTGAGCAGTGGACAGGATACCGGGACACACTGGACACTGCCTTCGGTACAGTGACACGTTGTGCACTGGTCTGACTGGAATTGCTCCCCACTCTTGTAAGTATTGCCTTTGAATGTGCAAGGCGGCCCAATAATGACTGGAAAACGGAAAAAAAAGGAACCAGTTTACACTCGCTTAACTCTAACCGTCATTTAACTAACTCGTACAAGTAATATGTGTTCTTTTTTGTTCAGAAAATTTTCAGACAAGTTCATTTAATTTTTCAACAAAACAACAGTATTTTAAAATACCATTTTCAGCTATCAGTTTTAAGGGAAAAAATATCACAAAGTTGTATTTCTCGAGCTGAATGGGTTAAAGATGATTCTGGTCAATATTTAAAGGGTTAGGTAGGCTTTTGGATGATTTCAGTTTGGCCAAGTTTCAATCTTGATCCACAGATTTTCCAAACTGGAGGAAGTTTTTAAATCTTTGTGGCACTGATATGCTTATGACATTTCCAGACGTTTTAGTTTGAGAGGTGACGAACACAGCGAGGGGGTGAGTTTTGCGAAGGTGATTTTCAAGAGTTGCCACTGGTTACCTTTTTGTTGGTCTTACCTTCTGGCCCATCGGGGCACGTTGGACAACAATCGCCGGGCTGCACGACTGGGTTGTCGCATAGTGGCAGGCTGCACGACGGGCGTCGGCAGGCTGTCTCACCGCGGTCACACTCACAGGTCTCACAGGGACCAGGGATCCACCTGTCACCATGTTTGTACTCAGTCCCGTTGAAGATGCAACTGGGATCCTCTGTGTTAGTATGGAATGAATCCTTGCGTGAAATAAAAATTAGAAAACTCTGTGCGCATGTAGCGACACAGAAATGGCTGGTATACCTTGCCAGATTAATTCTGATGTGCTCCTTCAGTCAACTAATTAATCTTCAAGATTTAGAAGGTCTACGAGGCAGTTCTGTGTGAAGTCATAATCATGACCCTCCTATGACACACAGTGCAACCGTCCCACCACCCTGGGAAGGACCAGACTCAGAAATCATTCTGCAAGTCCTGTGCGACTGCAAGACGGTCGAGTTCTTCAATAATTTTCTCAAGGCGCAGGAATACGTGGCCACATTATTTTACCAATAGGAATGCTGCTATAGTGCATTTCTCAATGGAAATGATAGGCCTATGTAAAACAAATGCCCTTCCAATTATGTAATCATTCCCTGCACAACAAACGTTAAATGAGGTAAAATGCTCCAAGAAAAGATTGGTGTACAAATCTTTCAGGCACTGTGGTGAGATCTAGAGAGTTTGTCCTTGTTAGGCCTGAAAACTGTCCTCGCCAAGTTATCAGGTATACTCCTCCTTGGTCCTCTCCTTCCTAGAAAACCCAAATCTGAGAAGCTATGTTTGACTGTCCAGTCAGGACTAATCTGATGACCAGCATTACTTGCCATTACTACAGTCAAACTGTATACAAGTTGTATAGGCTTGTTAAATGCATCTTTGACCAATGGG